TCTCTGTTTGCCTCTTCTCCTTCTCTTTCTCCATCTTCTCCTTCTCTTTCTCCATCTTCTCCATCTCTGTCTGCCTCTTCTCCTTCTCTTTCTCCTTCTCCATCTCCTCCATCTCTTTCTCCATCTCCTCCTCCTTTTTTTCCTTCTCTTTCTCCTTCTCTGACTTCTTCTCTTTCTGTGTCTTCTCCTTCTCCTTGCTCTTCTCTTGCTCCTGGGATACTACCATAAACAATGGAAAGAAAATTCAAGTGAATAAGTTCACCCCATTGGTCACCCCAGGATTTAGTTGACACCCAAATCTCACATAGGAGCTGAAAATGATTAGCTCATTCACACCAGACTACCAGAGCTTATCATTTCCAGCTATTTCTTAGAGGATATGCAAAGTGTTTTAAATTCAAATCACTTTGAATCAGTCTGGAAGTTGAGCCGTGGCAAATGGACTTTGGTAATGCCTTGGTAAGACCACACTTAGAATACTGCATCCAGTTTTGGTCACCATCTTATAAAAAAGATGTAGAGATTCTGGAGGGAGTGCAGAAAAGAACAACAAAGATGATCAGGGGTCTGGAGGCTAAAACATACAAAGAACAATTGCAGGAATTGGGTATGTCTAGCTTCATGAAAAGAAGGACTAGGGCTGATATGATAGCAGTCTTCCAATATCTCAGGGGCTGTCACAAAAAAAGGGAGTCAACCTATTTTCCAAAGCACTTGAAGGCAGGACAAGAAGCAATGGATGGAAACTAAGCAAGGAGAGAAGCAACCTGGAACTAAGGAGAAATTTCCTAACAGTGAGAACAATTAACCAGTGGAACAGCTTTGCCTTCAGAAGTAGTGGGTGTTCCATCACTGGGGCCTTTTAAAAAGAGACTGGACAGCTACTTGTCTGAAATGGTATAGAGCAGGGGTAGGCAACCTCGGCTCTTTTATGACTCATGGACTTCAACTCCCAAAATTCCTGAGTCAGCATAGCTGACTCATAAAAGAGCCGAGGTTGCCTACCCCTGGTATAGGGTCTCCTGCTTGAACAGAGGTTTGGACTAGAAGACCTCCAAGGTCCCTTACAACACTTGTTGTTTTGTTCTGTTCTGTTTTAGACTTCTTTTCTTGTTGGTTCAATATATTTTGCTGCTTTTCCAAGTAGCTTCTTCAGATAAGCAGCTTCTCCTTGGATAAGCAGCGAAATGTTTCGAACCAACAAGAAAAGAAGTCCAGTTGCCATGATTCAATTTTCAGACAACTCTAGCTGGATGACTGAGAATCTTCATCGACACTTTGAATCGGAAACATATGATTTAGAGTTTGAAACATCCTACATCCCATGCAAAATTAGAGCAAGCCAGAGCAGAGGAAAACTCCTTTGTTAGCTGCAAGTTAACAATAATAATAATAATAATAATAACAACAACAACAACAACAACAACAACAACAACAACAACAACAACAACAATAGAGTTGGAAAGGACCTTTGAGGTCTTCTAGTCCAACCCCCTGCTCAGGCAGGAAGCCCTATACCATTTTGGACAAATGGCTGTCCAGTCTCTTCTTAAAAACTTCCAGTGTTGGAGCATTCACTGCTTCTGGAGGCAGGTTGTTCCACTGGTTAATTGTTCTCACTGTCAGGAAGTTTCTCCTTAGTTCCAGGTTGCTTCTCTCCTTGCTTAGTTTCCATCCCTTGCTTCTTGTCCTGCCTTCAGGCGCTTTGGAAAATAGGTTGACTCCCTCTTCTTTGTGGCAGCCCCTGAGATATTGGAACACTGCTATCATGTCCCCCCTCATCCTTCTCTTCATTAAACTAGACATACCCAATTCCAGCAACCGTTCCTTATATGCTTTAGCCTCCAGTCCCCTAATCATCTTTGTTGCTCTTCTCTGTACTCTTTCTAGAGTCTCAACATCTTTTTTACATCGTGGTGATCAAAACTGGATGCAGTATTCCAAGCGTGGCCTTACCAAGGCATTGTAAACTGGTATTAACACGTCATGTGATCTTGATTCTATCCCTCTGTTAATGCAGCCCAGCACTGCGTTGGCTCTTTTGGCAGCTGCAGCACACTGCAGGCTCATATTTAAGTGATTGCCCACTAGGACTCCGAGATCCCTCTCACAGTTACTACTATTGAGCAAGGTACCCCCTATACTATACCTGTGCATTTGGTTTTTCTTGCCTAAATGTAGATCCTTATTTAGTTCCTTTGCTGATCCCCATCATTTCCCATTCAAACAATTGCAAATGCAGCCTTTGGACAGATTCCTGTCTTCTTGGGGACAGTCTACCCCAGTGGTGGCGAACCTATGGCACAGGTGCCAGAGGCGGCACTCAGAGCCCTCTCTGTGGGCATGCGTGCCGTCGCCCCAGTCCTAGGCCTTCAGCTGGGTTTTATAAAACCTTTTCGCTTTAGGCCTCCGCCGCCGTGTGCAAAAAAAAAAAAAAAAGGTTCAATCAGTCAATTTCAACTCACGGGGAAAAAAAAGATCTTGCAAAGTTGGAATTGATTGATTGAACTTTTTAGTCCCACCCAATCTGCCGTTACCACTGCAGCCACGCCTAGCCAATGGGCCAGACCCACTCGGCACTCAATGATGCATAAGTAGGTTTTGGGTTGCAGTTTGGGCACTCAGTCTCTAAAAGGTTCGCCATCACTGGTCTACCCTAAGCTGATATTAACATGATCTATAGCTTCATTTTTCCCACCTGCAATGCCGACAGCCTGATTGTCCCCTTTCTCAGAAAGTTGTGAGCGTAGACCCAAAACAGCTTCGTCTTCTTCCTCCATCCAGGAGTTTGGACCCAAACCGGTGAGCGAGACAACTAGTACAAAAATAAAATCCGAGAAAATAAAATCTAGGTCGTTCTATTTAACCATCCTTCTATATGTCTCAGCATAAAATGACCAGCAGCAATGCAAAGGCAACATGAGCGTAGAATAAAAATAGTATTAAATGTCTTTTGTCCCCTGTCACCTTACGCTTTGTTACCATGCCGTGAACTCTGGGGAGGGTGGAGCCTTGGGGGCAAACGAAAGTAACTGCTGTTATATCCCTGAGATGCTACTTAAAGGTCACTTTACCTGGCTGGGAGACGAAGGCAGCTGCATACCAACCTATGCTTGAAATGACTGTTCTGAAAACATCTTGCTTGAACCTGGTTGGTCATGGGGGGGCAGCGATGGGAGGCAGTAGAGCAGGGGTGTCAAACTCAAATTCATTGAGGGCCACATCAGCATTGCAGTTGCCATCGGGGGGGAGGGGTGAGTGGCCTACTGGGTGGGCATGGATGGAGTAGGTGTGACCTACTGGGTGGGCGTGGCCAGCTCTACATCATTCACGTCAAGGGTGCTGGTGGGGGCCTGGGCAGGAGTGGGACAGATCTGAGGGTCTCTGGCAGAAAAGGGACAGACCAGGGCAGAGCCCATCAAGCCGGATATGTGAAGTAGGCGAGGGCCATTTGCTGGCCACTTCCAGGCGATGGTGCATTTCTTCATTCCTCATAAAACCTCCCCAGCATGCACCCAGGGGGCGGGGCCGACGCGAACGGGGCTGGTTCCTTGCTGTTTCCAGACAGCCTTGTGGAGCTAAGACTGAATGTGTTTCAGCATAGATGGCCACCACAAAATTGTACATTGGCTCCCGGCCGGCCTGGACCAGTGCCAAGGCAGCGGGGGCCGTTCCCTCACTGTTTTCAGGATGGCTTCGCAGGCCACATGAAACCACTTTGTGGGCCGCATCCGGCTCCCGGGCCTTGTGTTTGACATGTCTGCAGCAGAGAGAGGGAAAATTTGAACTTGGGATTTTGGTGCGAGAGTCTCAGTTATGGCTAAGCATTACTGCAGTACACTTGACTTCTAATAAAACTATGCCTTTCTCAGCAAATGGAGCCAAGGATTCTTTATTTAGAGGTTTAAGTGGTGATAGGTCTAACAGTTTTAACTGAGGGAACTGTTCAC